TTTCCCCCCACCCCGGAGAGCTCTGGTGTCGCTTGTGCAGGGGACCGGGTAAGTGACGCTGGCCCAGTACAAGCTCTGTCAGGGTGCTGCTGGGGTCTGGGTTTCATTCGAGCAAGGGGAGAGCGCGCAGGTGAACAATGACTTGCGTGTGGGCTGAGGAGGCCGATCAACCTGTAGCCTGTCCGTTTAACTGCACATGCCTTCCAACCTGTCTTCTGCGTGAATACCACCAGTGAGACGTTCTCCTTGTCAAGTGCCTTTCTGCCCAGCTCGTGGCTGCCGCTCCAGAGCCCTACGCTGTAGAAGGGAGCAATACTAACAGCGCAGCAACGCTGTGTCTTAGCTATTGCAATTCAAAAGAGCTCTGTCACGCAGAGCTTGGTCTTGAGAATTCCTCGTCAGGCTCGCAGCAACATACGGTGATCCCTTGCAGGGGAGCAGAGATTGTTGCCGTTAAGATCTGCCCTCGGAGTATCTGGAGGGTGGCGGTGTATTCCTTGCGTATAGCTCTGTTGCACATATTTTTCCTTTGCTTGCTTCCTCTTAAATCTTCTTACAGGCTTTGTTGCTGAGCAGTCTTCTGCACTTCCTATTTTGTACTAAAGAGCAAAGCTGAGTTAGCAGAACTCACTTTAAGTAAGAAAGAACTAAAAGACTTAGTTCAAGTAGTGGCGCTCGGATAGATACCTGCTGCTCGCAGAGTTGGGAAGCGTATCAGGTGAGCCAGGGAGGTTACTGCTGCTCAAATAAGACGTGACTTGTCACGGAATTGCGTTGTATACTGCCGCAGATGAGCGCGAGGTTTACTAAGTACAGCTGCTCAGGGATAGCAGGCAGAATCCTGCCAGGCAGTAAGGTGGCGGACCCGACCGCGAGTTGGCTCGGCAGCTGCCTGCAGCGTAGGGACGCGCAGGGTTCGTAGGATCTTCCCGGCGCTGCCGCATCCCAAGAGCCGGCGCAGGCAGAGGGGGACCTTCTGTCCCGCATCCCTCTGAAGGGTCATATTGCAGCATCGGGTCCTGGTCGGTGTCTGGAACAGACCGTTTCTTGTCGGGCAGCTAGCACAAAGCAAGCTGCTGCAACGCTGCTGTTTTCACTGTTTTTGTTTGATATTGAAAGTATAAGGAAAAAAGCTATGGAGATGCCGTGATGGTCTTCTAGGGCATAGGTTTCTGGGCTTGTGTTTTACTTTCTTTTACCTTCCCGCATCACAGTAAGATTTGGTTAGATGCTGCTTGATACCTCCTGACGTGGATGAAAAGATTAAACCGTGCTCCTGACTTCGGCTAATAGTTTCAGCTACGTTATGGCGGGGACAGATTTTCAGCAGTTTCTGTCCTCTGGGTTTAAGGACGAAGTTTTATTTAAGTGAAATGAAATTTTCCTGAGGAAAAGGTGCATTCGTAGATATCTTAAAGGTGAATCTTCCTTGATGTGTCTGTCATTTTTAAGGGTAATGCTTATTTCAGTGCATTGCTCACATCTGGGCGTCAGGTATCGCTGTCACACAACGGACGGATTCGGCAGAGCGTTCCTAAGTTGTGACAGAAACCCAGGTCGCACAGTTGGGTTTTTCCGAGCCGGAAGCCGGCAAATCCGTAGACATCTGTGCTGGCCGCTAGTAACTGGCGGCAAGCTGATTTTGCAGACTGACTGATCGGAAAACTTCAGAGCCGTTTGAGCTCGGAGGTGGTTCAGTGAGAAAACAGCACCACCTACTGCAAGTACTTAGTTTTGGGTGTAGAGTTAAATACGAAGAGTGGCTTCTTGAGTTTTGCTTTTAATCAGAACTGGATATCCCTCCTGTGTCTGTTTCACGCCATCTAGGGTTTCTTTATAAACAAAAGCAGCCCGTTTTGTGTTCCACTACGATATGCCAATTTAGGACAGGCAGTATTTGTTAAGTGGAATTCTTAGTAAAAATTAAAATCAAAACTTGTCATTCAACGTACAACAGTGATTCGGATAATAATTTCTTTAACAGGAGCTCATGAGACGTCGTAAATTCTGGTTCCTAAGACTGATGTGCTTAGTGCTCTGCCAAATTACATATTAACCTTATTATATGAGTGATTACAAACCAAGCAGAGGTCAGGTCCTTATGCGCGCTTAGTATGAGTGTAATAAACAGCTGATTTTGGCTTGAGGAATTAAAAGTAGGATCGAATTCAAAGAAAATCTAATTCCCCAGGCATAAGTAATAGCTAGAAATTGGATGGGTTTGGTACGTTAGTTTTCAGCTATTGGGAAGTGACCTGTGTGATCCACCATCAGGTTGGGCTGAGTGTGTCGACGAGGGCATCTGCCATAAATGATTTGGCTTTTTTTCCCCCCTGTTTCACTGAGAAAAGTGTATGTTGTTTTTTCCCTAATTATGGAGGAGGAAGGTTCTGTCTTTCTAGTGAGACCGATTCCTGCTTTTTTAATGTATTGGTTAGCATATTGATGAGGAAAAAAGGATGTTTAGAAGAAGAGGCCGCTTAGATTGTTGGGGCGGGGATGGGGAGGCAGAGGGAGAATACAGTCTCTTGCTGGACTTACCTGAATGGCGTTAGCAGTTGGGATATCGCAGGCTGGAAGCACAGAATGTCACCCACAACATAGAGCTGTCAAAATCTTTGAAAGATCTGTACTGGAAATTACGTTTTCGCTTGCTTGGGCAGGGGACTTAGTAAAGTGTTTTGAGAGTGAAAGCGGGGAGACTGTTTTTTCCCTGGGCCCTGGGCATCTCTATGCTTGTCATTGCTTGGAATTAAGAAAAAAAAAAAAAAAAAGAAATAGAAAAAAAGAGCAAAACTCTTGCAGAATTCTGTAAAGCGTAACTTCTCTCTTCAGGCTCCAGAGAGGGTTTTGACATGCACCACGTCAAAGAAGCATTTAACTCCGTGTTCCCTTGTTTTCCTAATGCGTTGGGTTGTTTCCAGCCCTTTGGGGGGCTGCAGACCATACCTTTGCTTTACTGTATTTGACTTTTCCATACAGCCTGGGTTTATGGCTCTCAATAGCACCTTAACGTTTGGATCTATATTTCTCTCACTCTGAAGGACAGACGTAATTGCAGTCCAAGCAGGAAATTTTAAAACAAAAATTAAACCTTACCCCCAGGCCTTTTTGTTGCACCCTACAGGGGATTAAAGTAGTCGGCCATCTGTTTTCACAGACCAGCCCGCGTTAGGAGTGCACCTTCGGGTTTGTGCAAGATTAGCTGTGGTTAGGTTGACTTCTCAATTTCACAGCCGCGGAAACCTCACTGTTCCCCGCATCCCTCCTAATGGATACAGTAATATCCCGACCATCAAGAAGGGTTGTCCTTGGCTTGTTTCCCTCTGCACAGAGACAAGTGGGTGCATTTTGCCGCCGCCCCCCTCCCCGCCCCCCAAACCCAAGACATTTTGGGTTGGCTTTCTTGTGGTTATTGGGGTTGCTCTAGTACTGTCCCCTTACCTTCAGCTATACCAGTAAATACTTTCGAACACTGACTGGCGTGAAAAACGATGAAATTCTAGGTGGAATGACTAAATTTACGCAGTGTAATTGAAGCAGTCCTGGGCCTGATTATTCTAGAGGGAAACTTTGGTTGTGATTAGTGTGTGACTTAGCCAAAAGGCTGTCTGACCAGCTTGTATGTCTTCAGCTCATTATAAATGGTGAATCGTCTCTTTCTCCAGAGCTGACATCCAAGCCTTAAAAATTATTAAACAGTGATTCTATCCTGGTATTTCTTCTCCCTGCTTCTTTAGAGGCGAGCCACAATCCTTCTTTGCATGCAAGGCTGCTGTCAATAACTTCCTTCTGTGCCCGACTCTGACCTTGCCGTTGTGAAGGGCTCTGGGTCACAAAGACCCAGTTGCACATTCAGAGGTCACTGACCACTTGAGGGGCCAATAAATCGGTCTTATTGTAGTGGAGCGATGGTTAATACTGAGAGGAAGCATCCTTTGTAACACAGGATTTCAGTTCGCCTTTTCGTTTAGCTTTTGAAAGATGTAGTACTTCCTATGTTTGCTTACCTGTTTTGCATCCTGATACATGTAGGCAGCTGTACCAAATGTTACATGGTTTTGGGTCCCTCTTTAATAGTCTCTTGGACATCTTGAGAAGCTAGGAGTAAAAGCCACCCAGGCCCCAAAGTCCCTGTCTTGTAGGTGAGGCCCGGATCACAGTGGAGCAGAGCGGAAGGTTTAAAGGAACCAGCTAGGCTTTTTTTTGCATTGAACGGCTTGGCAATCAGAGCTGACGTGACTTGCCTGGCAGTACACTTGGAAGTGTACCGTGGCAACACTGAGAATCAAGCCCCGTTTCAATCCAGGCTTTTCCTCTTCCTCACTGCCACGTCGAACCTCTAATAGCAGGGAGGCAAATGTTTTCTTTCCAGGTGAGGCTGTGGCTCAACAGGATAATGGAAGTTTACAGACCATCCAGTGCCTGTTGAAGCCAGTGGGAGCCTTTCTCCAGCTGCAGCTAGGTCTGGGCTAAGGCGTGGTTCAGTGCCATTGACGTTCCATCGATGTCCCAATGGTCTTGGACAAAGAAAGACAATTCTTCAGTCAGGACAGGGCAGCTGTGGTCACCTAAGTGCATTTTGAGAGGGACGGGATTGGAAACGTTACAGAAAGAGGAAAAGAAAAGAGCAAAACCTTACTGTGGTGTCACTCAAATTTCTGGATGATGGGTAAAGTCTTTAGTGCATCTGTTACCGAGCTGTGTTCCTGTGACCTGGTTTGTTTCCTGAAGTCGGAGGAGCAGTAGGCGATGTGTGAGTATTTCTGGATGGAGACAGGGAATACAAGGAAACCAGATTGAAAGTGTGTGATTTACGGTCACCGCTTTACCAGCTCGGTTATTCTGCTGAACAGTGGCCCAAACCTGTTCCCACGGCGCTGCGTGAAAATTTCCCGTGAACTTAACGTATAACCTAGCGAGCAATGCACTCGGTCCTTTCTTTATAACACCCTGAAATGCCCATATTCTTATCTAAGTATTTGTTCTTCCAGGGAGCCCCGAAAGCCAGGACACGTACGTTTTTAACCTGACGTCACTCACCGAGTCAGAAAACGTCTTGTCAGCTTCGGTGTATTATTATATTGGTGATCTGCTGGATGCTAAGTGGAACTGTTCCCAGTCCAGAGGCTGTTCTCGTCACGGGCACAGGAAACCTGAAATTCAGATACATCTTTCAGTTTGGACCTTTCCGTCTGTCGGGAACCAGACTCGGAGCCTGGGACATTTCCCGATAAATGTCTCCACTGCTTACCAGGACGTCCGTTCCTGGCAGTGGAAGGATATCACTCAGCTCCTGCATGAAGCGAAACAAAACAAAGAACTCCTGATGCGTGTCAAAATGGATCTGACCAGCCATCACCCCTGGAAGAGGGCACCTTCTCGCTATGAACCCTACATTCTGATTTACGCCAACGATTCTGCAATTTTGGAGCCGGAGAGCGTTGTCTCTAGTTTGCAAGGGCACCGTCATCCTCTGGCAAGGGCCTTTCCCAGGCCAGAAAACCACGCGAGGAGCAGCCTCGGGAAGCGGCGGCGAAAGCGCTCCGCAAACGTCCTGTTGCCGTTGCAGAATAACGAGCTTCCAGGAGCCGAGTACCAGTACAACGAGGATGAGAGGTGGGAAGACAGAAACCCCTACAAAACCTTCCAGCCACGGTTAGCGGAGAGGGCAAAGAGTAAGAAAAAGCAGAGGAAGAATCATCACCAGAAGAGCCAGACTCTCCAGTTCGATGAGCAAACGCTGAAGAAGGCGAGGAGGAAGCAGTGGAATGAGCCAAGGTATTGCGCCCGGCGCTATCTCAAGGTGGATTTTGCAGACATTGGCTGGAGCGAGTGGATTATTTCCCCTAAATCCTTCGACGCCTATTACTGCTCAGGGGAATGCCAGTTCCCAATTCCAAAGGTACGGTCTTTATTGATTGTTTTGCACTGTTTGTTACTTGTAAACTATGCATTTTCTTTCCCGCATCAGTAAAAGGCGGCTAGTCACCTGTTACGTGTTCGCATCTAGTCAATACGTGATACCTTTGTCTCACGCTGCAAGGAGTAGGGGTTAGAACAGCTAGTAAAAAGACAGGCTTGTAAAGGTAATTAAAAAAATATTACGTCGTGTTAGTTTTTTGTCCAGAACCCAAATTGCCATAAAACATTTCCTGAATAGTGCTTATGATGTGCGAATTTGTTATTAACCTGTTTAATACACATAAGACAAGCCAGATCCAGAAAACTGCTTATTAGACAGTAGTCGTTATGCCTCGAAGGAGTCTCTGCTGCCAGACCCACGCTGGGGTCAGTCGGCATAGCACGTCCTAGGAAAAACGTGCGCCTCGTGACTGTCGCAATGACAGAGAGACTCTGTAGAGCCACGGGAGCGGTTGGGACGCTCTGAGTGTAAGCCAGAGAGTCAAATGAATCGCTTCTCTGACAGACCGAGGGGATCCAAATGCAATGGATCCCGGCCAGCTGACTTCTGAAACATCCTCCAATTTTTACGAGATTGTTGCATGTGAGTAGCAAGAAAGGGTGATGTGCTCCTAGCCCTGTGACTTGGGTGGATGAACTCAGCTCCTTAAAATCAAATGCCCAATGTCATTATTAGCAGCTTTGGACCCCCCTGGAGTCTACCGAAACCTGAAAGTAGGACGCGGTATTTGAGGCTGGCCTTAAATGAGGGGTAAGCACAGATGACGCCTACAGGAAACGTCAGTAAAGGTAGGGCTTTTGGTCTCGCCGTAACCTCACGTGCGAGAGTCTTTATTCCTGCCACAGTGAAGCCTTAGCAGTTATCTCCGAAGTTTATGTGGCATTTCAGTGGCTTAAGGATCCGAGGGAGTCACCCTTTGAACATGAGAGGCGGAGAAATGTACCAAAGGGGACGGAACCCAGAGAAAGCCAGCTGAGGAAGGCGGGAGTCTCTCTTCGAAGGAGGAGATGACTTACCTGGCTACTTCCAACTGCAATGGCAGGCTTTCAGGTTTCGGATCAAAGTTAAAAATGAAAGGGGACAGGAAGAGGCAGAGTCATTACCTTTGAATACATTGCATTGGGCCTTTCACTTTGTTGTTGATGGGAACCATGCTCTGTCAAACCAGTAACTCAGCATACAGGTTGGAAATGTTAAAAGCTCCAGACCTGAACTTCTGCCATTCTAACTTGAAGGACCCATAAATAATAAAAATGCCTGCTGTATCCCTCTGCTTAAGACCGGGTTAGCATTGCCGGTTGCAGCTTTAGTTATAAAAACTTCATCCCAACCATAAGAGTGTGACTCTGATTTTTGTTCAGGAGAAAATGGTACACAGTACTTAAACCACAAGACTTGAAGTACTTCGTTTCAAAGGAGTACAAAAAAAAAGCGTCTCCGGCTCAGCTGATCCTGGCCCCTAAAATATTCTTCACTTAAAATGAGACCCCTGCTATGGGCTACCATCAGTATTACAAAAGAAACAAAGCAAAGAGTCAAGCACGCATCGGACAATCGGTGATTCTACTGGAGGACAATTTCAGTCAAGTTCCTCTGTATTTCTGATGATAGGGAAAAAAAAAATGTATAGCAGCTTTTTAGAAAGGCTTGAAGGTGTCTCGTCCTAAGTCCAAAAGCATTTAGGTTCCCGTTTCCTAAGGTTATCGGGTCTGGCTCTTTTGGCTCTCGAAGTGAATGATACTTGAGGTGCTCGTGATCTCCCAGGATGTAGCACTTGCTAGAGCATAACTATTTCAACCTAGTCACTAGAGATCTATCTCTCTCTCTCTCTCTCTCTTTTTTTTTTTTTCTTTTACATTTGGCAGACATGTAAAATAGGTTTCTGCCTTCTGAGGTGGAAGAGCTCTCTGTTAATAGTCAATACATAGCATATATTTCAGGGTTAGCCGATGCCTGATGCAGAGACTGGGAAGAACCCCCCTTTGGCTGTAGGAGAGTCTCGATCAAACCTCAGATTGCTCAATAACGTGCATGCTCAAAAGCAAACAGGGCTTTCTCAAAAACAGTTTTGAATGTAGTGGTTTTAGAAGCCCTCGTTACTGGCCTCTCCTCGCTCCGACTGAAATCTAATCCTGCCGAGAGCTGATGGGAAGTAACAAATTTAAGATAGAAAGCAAGTCTCTGTTTAAGGGTCGAGGTGAGACTTTGAGAACGGAGATTCTCCAGCAGCAAAAAGCGTTATGTATCTTCGTGGAGATAAACTCTCAGAAACCAAAAGTAGAGTAATGATAAAGAAGCCCTGTAATAAAAGGGTTCCTGTTCCTTACACGGAGCCTTTGTTAGCACCTGCAACCGGAAAAATCCCTAGTGTGCTCCATAACCTCAGGGCTTAATTCCCAGAGTGACTTCAGACCTCTGGAAAGAAACACAATGAGCCATACGAATGCTCCTGAAAGTAAAACGTCCCGAGATGGGTTTAGTACCAGTGGTTCTGAAGAGGGAAAATGAAGTTTAATTGAAGTTTAAACCTACGTTTGACACTCAGAGGCATGAGAGGGAGGTACGAACAGTGCACACAACGGAATGGTAGTTAACAGGTATTGCCTGGGTGAAGGAGGAGTTCCAGCTTTGTCTGCGAGTTGTCCGTCTTCGGGTAATTCCCCTGAGGTATTACACTGCACATCATTTCTAACATAGAGAGCCAAGGTTGTTTCTGCTGAATTGGGGTTCTGCTTTCCTGCAGGTGGTAGCGTCGGCCTCTGAGATGTCATAGTTCAGCTCCGTCTTCTGAAATAAGTAGACTTGCAGTATTGGCTACTGTTATCATGGTCACTAAGTCTAGCAGTCGCAAAGGAGTGTTCTTCCTCCTCCTCCTCCTCTTCGCCCCTCTGCTCTGCCTGGGAGAGGCACACTGTCAGAAGTGGTCCCTGCCCTGGAAAAAAAAGCTCATAATAGAAAAAAGGTGAGAAAGAAACGGGAGAGATGGGTAGGCAAATAAAGCACAGAGTTTAAATGACTTTGCTGACATGAAGCAGAAGGTCTGATTGCCGTGAACTAAGCCTGTAGCGCAAGCCTGCAAGGGCATAACCAGGACACCAGGTTTTTTTCTACAAGTTTCTACCAAAAAGCCTAATCTGGCCTTTCTGTGTGAAACTCTCTAGACTCGATGGGGTGAAGAATTATAGCAGCAGAGCATTATAGTTACATAGACAGTGTGAAGCTGAATATTTGCTGCTACGCGTTGCAGAGAGAGCTAGTTTGTTAAGAGAGCAGGTTACTGAAAGCCATTGTGAGTCTGGTTCCTTGAAAGCAATGGGTAGATTTCTGTCCATGTTGGAACTCAAGTTGTTCCTTTTGTGCACTTTTTTTAATCGTAAAAACCAAAATGACCTTGTTTTCCAAAGAGATTGAAAAACTAAATTATATAAAAAGGTGAAGCGAGCGTCTCCTAGAGCCATGTGTTATTCTCGAGCCATGCGTAGTATCTGGTGCTACTAATAAGACCGTGTTTGCAAAATGATACTATAACCATCAGGCAATAACAAACTAATCTGTGCCTATGGGTATATAATGTTCCCTTGCTGAGGGCAAACTCCTAAAGTTGACAACCTGTTGGGTAATTAAGAGCAGATGTGCCTCGTCGCACCCCCCCTTTCCACCTCTGAATTTTCTGGCCTTACCCTTTCCCTGATTTCAATTAGCTGGTTTGACTGCTGTCAAACGCACACGTGTTGGGCTTGCGTAATGCCGCAGAGCATGCGGCCCCGGCAGACCCTCTCCCGGGGCAGGAACGAAAGCTCGTAACTGACATCATTTGCCCTGCTCATAATGCACCTCTAATGAAATGCAACAGGGCAGCGAGCCTCCCAAGGATGTGTGCGGCTGAGCAGGTGCAGCCTGAGCCACAGCTGGACTCATTCACAGGCTTGGCAGTTGGGAGTCAGCTCGGCGTTTTTTCCTTCCACCGCTCCTCTCGGCCTCCCCTGCTTCGCCGTTCCTAAAAGAAAACCCCTGCCTGCTGTTCGTGACCGCGTGCTGGCAGAGCATAGGCGGCCCGCAGGCTGTGGCCTAACTCACCCCCCTTGTGCGGGGCATTATGCCAGTTCAGCACGCCGAGGGGGATTTCGGTGTTCTGAGGAGCCCACGCCTTCGGATTTTACTCCAGTCACAGTTACGTCCCCGCTGGCAGAAGCAGAGTTAGGCCAAAGCTGGTTATCCTCAAGAGTGCGCCTTACGGGCCGGGGGCAGTGTATCCAGGACCGACTTCAAGTCAGTACGGAGGATGTTCTGTATTGTACGGCACCCGTATCAAATAGAGATGCTGCTTTTATCGTGCAGTGACAGCATGTATCCGGGCTATTCCCACGGATAGCCAAGGCAATACCTGAGAGCGGGTCTGTACTGATTGGCATCCCGGTGGTACAGATTCCATATCTGAAAGGAAGGGTTTCCGATGAGAGCTTAACACGGCATATTCGGAGACCTGTTTTTAATTTCAGTACTAGTGGCAACGGGAAATAGGGTCTTAATAGATGTTTTACCTTTTGACGTCCGATCAGTAGGCTCGGGAGATCTGTTTGGCTCCCAGTTATTTTTGTGGAGAATGGTGCACTGGAGCTGAGTAAGGAAACAAGCCTGGATGCTACCGGAGCTTTTGCTTCCTTTTGCAGGCAGAAATGATGCAGAAGTCTGAATTGTGTACTCATCTCGGATGTTTTTGAAATCCCTGTCAACAACTGCTGAGGAGTACAGGTGCTCTTGAATTCAAAACAGAAATGTCTTTCTTGAGATCAGCTACCTAGATGGAGAGTAATGTCTTTGTAACCGTGTTGGGAAACCTACAGCCATTAAGAGGACGGTGCAACAAGCTTTGCGTTTGTGTTTTAAACAGAATATCACCACACCCCTGCATCTCATCTGATAAGCTATGATAGTAAACTTAAACAGCGACGGGGGAGGAGGACCAGGCTCTGCATAACGTCTGCGTTTAAAAGGGACTTTGATCCTGAGCATACTTGAGAAAATTCTGAGTCTCTCAGAGGATAAATAGAGAAGCAGGGGATGTGCAGGATTGGCACCCTTTGTTGCTCAGCCTTCCTGCGGGCGAAATAGGTTCCTCGTGAGAAGAAGAAAAACACATTCAAATTATGTCTAACGTGTACATAAAGAATAGCTGAATGCTCCCCAGTGAATCCATATCAGTTCTGTGTCAAATGGTTCCAGTTCTCTCTGGAGACTAGTTTCAACAACGTGATACGGAAAAAGGCCCTTCTGATCCAGTTCTGATGGAACTCAAGGAATAGCTGTCTCCCTGAGAAAGAAGGAAAATACAGCTGGCATTAGTCGTGACCTATGTTGCCGTAAGTAGGGTCAGGTCAGACATCCGTGTGTACTGCCAGCAGAATTGGAAGCAGTTACTCTGAAATGTACTAACGTGCTACACAAACGATATGACGAGCCAGGATCTCATGGTTATTCCTGTGCTTTTTGCGTGCACGGTCATTAAGACTTGCAGTTCAGGTAGGTACCGAACCGTTAAGACTGATTTGTCCAAAAGCAAATCATCTCTCATCGCAGCAAAGCTGCCAATTGCACATTTGGCCCAAATGATCTTGTTCCATGTATTTCTCAGTGGCATCTGACTGAGAATATTGAACTGTGCGATTCCCAGGTTCTACGTGTAAGAGCAGCTCTAAAAAGCATTGTTAAAGTTTCGCTCTTACAGAACCGAAAGTCTTTGGCTAAAAACTGCGTTTTTCATGCTTGCCTATCTTTTGTACGGATACTTGGATTTGGAAGAGTTTGGGGGTTCAGAGGTAAAACTTAGTATTTCTCATTTCTATGAATATGTTCATTTTTATTTTTATAAGTGTATTAATGTATTCTGGTTTTGTGAATACATTCGGTTATCTCACTGGTCAGATACGCTTTTTCTTCATATCAAAGCAAAGTGTGTTCCTGTTTACCTGAGTATAAATCTAGGAAATGTCCTTTGGAGAAAAATGTCACCTTAATATGAGGTACAGCTGACGTGGGATGTGAGGGCTCAGTTACTTAGCAGTGTCAGTGATGATGTGTACTACAGCTGAGAAGTGATTTGGCGTGGAAGAATGAGCAAAACAACCTAACGTTGCACGAGAGTAAACTGGAACAGCTAGCATCGTGGCGTAAAGTACTTCCGTTCTCTCATCTGCACACGTTTTATCCACACTTGTTTTTCCCGACACATTTGCGTTCCACCAGTCAGACTTCCCAGCCTACCAGTTATGTTTCTTTTGCTCCCCTAGCGACTCAGCCTGCTAGCATGTTGACTGCCTCCCTCCCAGTTGAAGAAGTTTTATGACTAAATTGCAGCCCAGGTGTAAGTTACTTCACTCAGAAGAGACTGCCTTGGCCTATAGGTACACCTCGCTGCCAGGTCTGCTGCCTGGGCATTTTCCTGGGAAGGCACGTCCCGCAGAGAGCCCAAGGGCCTGTCCCCAGCAGGGCGCTCGAGCTGAAAGCGGTGGAGCGACACTCGCGTCCAGTGGCCAAAAGAACCAGACCGGATTCGTGTTCCCTGCTCAGGGCAGCTTTGGTGACAACTGGAAATGGTTGAGTAGAAGACAGATTTTACGGCTAGTCAGCTGTGGGGTCCTTCTTCAAAAAACCAGTTTTGTTCTAGAGTATGTGGGTCCATTCGCATGTGGGTGCAGTTACATTTTCTGCTTTGTCTTCCTTTTTCAGGCCTTGAAGCCATCCAACCATGCCACCATCCAGAGCATAGTGAGAGCCGTCGGGGTCGTCCCAGATGAGCCTTGCTGCGTTCCTGACAAAATGTCTTCTCTTAGCATCTTGTTTTTCGACGAAAATAAAAATGTGGTTCTTAAGGTGTACCCCAACATGACAGTGGAATCCTGTGCGTGCAGATAACATCTCGGGAGACCCTTTTGAAATGCTGAGGTGATCGCTTGCTGTTGGGGGGGTGGGGGTGGTGTGTGTTTCATGATACCTACTTTTTGTTTGCACTGCCAATGCATTTCCTTTGGACAAAAAAAGAAAAAAATGTAAACGAATCCAAGCAGAGAGGATGGAAATGGAATGGATTCCAAGGAAAGAGAATACGAACTTCATTCGTCTCTGCATTTGACCGAGACACAAGTCTTGGCAATGGGGACTTGACTGTTTCTCTTGAAAGCGAGAGATGAAAGAAGAATTTGCAGAAGACTCTTCAAGATTTTTGAGACTGCCAGAAGGACATACTGATTTATTTTTGTACAGGATTTTGGAAGCAGCAGTAGCTGTTAATTTTTGTCTCCGTTCTTATGGTGACTAATCGGGAGGGAGATCAGAAATACACTAGTCTTCGCTCTAAAGCTAAGCTTTCTGCGTTAGGTGATTGAGTAGCGCAGCAAAGAAGAAAAACAACTGTGACATCCTAAGAGCCTTAGATAATCCAACTTAGGCATAGCTCTCCTTGGTATGACGTGTCACGGACTGCATATGTGTATTCATTTTCATTGACATATTCTTCGTAATTCAGCTCATTAGATGTCAGTGCCCTCGGTCGGAAGAACACAAAACACATTACTGCTGCGTGCATAATAGTGGTATCTCAAAAGCGAAGACTTATATCTCGTGCCACTATGGAAACTCAGCAGGCCAAGGGTATGAAAGTATCGCTCTCAGCGAAGTGGCTGAGTGACTTGTTCACAACACATATTCTAGAATATAGTTGCAAATAATCTATAAGTAAATCATGGTAGTTGATTCCTGACGTGAAATTATTTGGTACATAATTCTTATCTGTAGGCATTCGCTATGATTATTTGATCAAAACTGCCTCTGGTTGGTGAGTTTTGATTGCTACATTAATCAGATAGTAGATTTTTTTTTTTTTCTTATCTCCATTCACTTCTGCTCTGAAAATCAAAGTTCTTGTACCTGTGCTGTCAATTTAAGATTTCTTACTAGCAGGTTTTGCACAATAAAGACACAAAACATTCTTTCAGTCACTTTATCCACCAAAAAATTCAGTTGAGAAATTACAAGCAGGAAAGAAAACATGTAATGAATCTCAGGCACGGCTGCAAAAAGTTTGTTCTGAGAGAGAGAGTAAATGTTCACAGAAGGCTTCAGACAGAACCCCTGGTCCGTTTCCAGCAGCGCGGTCTGTAGAGGAGGATGCTGTTTAAGTCACTTCTGGTTGGTGAGAGTGATGCTTTAGTGTGCGCTAAGAGTAAACATCAAACAACCTTTTCCGTAAGTTACCTACAGAACTGGCTCTCTGAAACAGTGTATTTGAAGAGCTAATATTCATAGGGAATAAATTAATTCCCCAGCATTGAGAGAGTTAAATTCTCTACTTTGGAGTCAGCAGTTCCCCGGCGTATTGAAGGTGACAACAGTTTCCCTATGTACATGCCTTTTTGCAGCTTCATAGCTATTTGAGGCTAGTTGAAGTGCTCGGTCATTGATTGTTGTATTTGGTCACTGGTGCCATCGTGTTTACCAGCCTCTGAGTAATGTGCATGTGCAAGGGGGTGAGAGGTGTGGAGCTTGCCTAGGGATCCTTTCAGCGATCACTTTTTACCTGCAGAAAGTCTTAGTGGAAGCTGACAGGAGTTTAACTTAAAAAAAAAAAAAAGAAACAAAGAACCACTGATGAGTCCCAGACGCAAGGTACGCTTGCGGCCCTTCCCTTCCCCTGTTTGAACAGCATACCCCTGCAGTCAGATTGCCAGCGTGCCACCAGATATGTGTGTGTTGGTTCCAATTAAGCAATGCCAATTAGCACAGCTGTCCAATGTGATTGCTGTTTGTTAGGATTCCAAGAGCTCTGTAGCAGCGTATTGCCTTGAAGGATCTGTTCCCTGGAACTGGAAAAGTCTCCATTTCTAGAGAAGAAGTGCTGTCTTCACCATATAGGAGCAGAACTGCCGTCAAAACCAAGCACTTAGTGTGAAGCTGTCTGCGTTTAGATCAAGGTTTATTTCATCTGCTTCCATATGCAGGAGAACAGTCAGACATTCTGTGTGCAAATTGGATGGACTTAAAAACGGGAGGAAGCAAGCTGTGCCTTTCTCCCGGCTGAAAAGACAAAGAGTTGCAGACAACCAAGAGCTTTTCACGGCTGTCTCTTGGTAATGAACAAGAGCCCGTCTCTCTGGTGCGGAGCTGCGTGGGCTCCTGTCTTGACTTGGACAGGCAGAAGCAGTGATGTGCACAGGCTGCCCGTACCATAGGGCTCCCCTTTTAATCCACTGGTCCGCTCCTGGGCCCGGTGTCATTAGGACGCATGCGGGATGCCACTGGCTAAGCTGGAAGCAGGCTCGGATTTTCAGCAGACATCAGGCCCTGCAAGCAAAACCAGCTGCAGTGGTTTCCGCTAGTTGTCTTTTGTAAGAGCTGCACAGGTAAGTCCATCGTTTATACAGTTCAGCGTGACGATGGCTACTGTTAAAAAACCACACACGCTCAACAATAAACCAATCTTCAATTTGTGGATGTCATAGAGCTGGACAAGGCAACCTCAGCTTTGTGCCGGTACGTCCCGTTTCCTTGTTCAAGGTGAGCTGGCTGGTGATGAGTAACACTCTTGTGCCAAAATCATTTCCTTCACGGTATTTTTGAGGCTCTTGGGGTGCGGACCTCTTGTCCTGAGTAGAAAGGTGGGAGCTGCTCCGTAGCCCTCGGGGGCTGGATTTCTCCCCGCGTCGCCCTGTGCTAGGAGTACAGCACGTTCCTTCCTTAGAAGAGCACCAGAGCACGCCTTCCTCCACGCAGCACAGAGGAGAAAGCACCTCTCAGCTTGCTTAATTCCCCACGGGAGGGCTGGGGGGAGTCATCCCACTGCAAATGCACTGCTGCCTCAGAGAAGGGCCATCGGCCCCCCAGGAAAACGCTGGGGGAACGGGGATGTCCCGCAAGGCCAGGAGTCGCTGAGCCTCAGCCTCCCGCTTGCTGGGGATGAATTGGAGCGGCTGGCTCCTGGGCAGAAGGTCAGGACTGAGCGGAGCCCAGCTCGGTCTGCAAACGGTGTGGCACAAGCAGTGCCAGGGACAGAGCTACTCAGAGGAAAACGCAGAGGTCAGACGTGCCCTGGCCCAGCCCTTGGGTGGTAGCGGAGTTACCCCGATCAGAACAGGGTGTTGGCAGCCAAGCTTCCCAACTTCTGCCCTCCAGAACAGAGGCGCTAACTAAATATGGGTGTTTCCCCAGCACAGCGGTCTGGGGCAGCCGTGCTCCGAGTCACTCCTTGGGACTGAAGCCGAGTTCAAGGCTATAGGCAATGCTTTCCAGTGCTGGGATGAGACAGCCTGGAAGTGACCTTAAAAGCATCACCCAAACATGAGCGTGAATATGTTAGGCTTGGTTTTCACTGGGATGCAGCCAGACTTTGTCATGAACCGGATCGCGTAGACTAGGTACAATCTTCCAAGTAAAATGGGATCCGCCTCTTCCAACACTACGCTAAGAGCGTTCTCTTCAGTTAGCCGTGTAGAAGCGAGACGTTTTATGCCCATGACTTGTTTTGCATTTGTATCTGTAAATGAAACTTTCTACGTAAAGCCATGTCTAGCATCAGTAATGTATTAATCACACAAGCAATGATTTCTGTATATGACTTTGTATTAGTAGGGACCACAGAATAATCTCCAGCTCGTGTTATTAATCACCTTTTTAATCTCAAATCAGCACGGGGGGGGGGGGGGCTTTTCCCACCTGTTCTGTTTTTTGAAATACTATTAATCAATAAATGGCTCTGCTTCCCATCTGATTATGTAGTATCTGATGCCCGTGCATTATTTCTGTGGCTGGCTCAAAAGATGGGCAGGAGAACGTCTTCAGCTACGCAAGCTCTCCCTTCAGATAGGCTCTTCCGGGAGCGAAGTCCCTAGTGAGGAGCAGGCTGTGAGGAGGCTGCTGCAGGAAGCTCTGGAAAACGCCATTCTTGGAGGCTGAATAGGTAATCTCGCCGTTAAGCGTGCAAAATACAGAATTCAAAATAAAACTTGCTTATGCTGCAATGCGGTATCTTGACCCAGTAGAATGGCCCGCTGTTCCCCTGAACAGGGTCACAAGGCGGGCTCTGCTTTTTCCTTTTTCTGGGGGCCCTGAACTGGCAAGGAGCAGAGAGCACCTTTCATGAGGTGCTGAGCAGCCTTGCGTTGCGAATCACTGCGCTCCGCTGCAGGGCTGGCCCAAAGCTTTGCACGCTCATCTCTGAGGAGAGGCTCAGCAGTTTGTGCAAGACTGATGTTTTGTTTGGTGACCCGTTTCTCCATGCAAAAACAGCCTTTAAAAATGATTTCTGTTGAAAGGTTAATCTTTGTGCAGACGATGTCAATTTAAAAACTTTAAAATTACCCCCAACAAAGAAAAATTATTTTGTATATGGAAAGAAACTTTCACAGTTGCTTTTAATTTATTTTATATCTGTGGCCATCTTGTCCTCTTAATGTTTCCTTCTTTATCTCCGTGCTCTTCAAACAATACCATTTTGTCTGTTGTTGCAAAGATGAAATGCTAGGACAGTAGTCAAGTTTGCAAGGATGGGTCACAGCCACGCTGGGAAGGGCATGTTTCACTACTGATGTCTAAGCTTCCCTGATTTATTTTCCCTTCAATAATGGGGAAGTTTCACTAGGAACTCTGGAGAAAATATAAAATAAAATCACTTTTTGCATGAAAATCCATTTTTTCTGTGTGGTATTCAGGTCTTTCCAAGAGCATTACAGTTTGCACCACTTTGTGTTCAGCACTCCAGAAATGCGTCCGTCTCAAGTGCTCCTTTCCAAAGGCCATTCGAACAGAGATTGTCTTTACAGAGCAAAGTACAGAGCTGCCGGGGAGTGGGTGCTATGGATTCAGTTAAAGGTTAGCTAGCATGACAGTGAGAAGCTACCCAGGTTACTGGACCCGATCCAAGGCCCGAAGATGTCAGTGGGCAGGTACCTGCCCTCCAGGTATGGCGTTACCACAGCAAGAGCGCTCCTGCTTGAAGTAATCTCTCATCTCTTGATTACAAGAGGATGACAAGAGC